CCCAACAGCAAATCTATCTCAATTCATAAATTGGTGGTGCTTAATAAAATGATGAGGAGCCATTTTTTGTGTCTTGTCATTGGGAAAGAATGGACAGGCAACGCAAGAGCGTAATTAACAAAGCATAAATGAGAGCAGCATAACTAGCATTAGAGTACATGAACTTAACAATAATATAAGTAGGGTTCAATGGGAAAACCGCATATGTCACACTTCGAAAAAGTTGAGAAATTGTAGATCAACGGTGGCAAACTTCTAGTTAATCATTGCTGTTAAGTAATTACCTGTTAAAACCTGTTGCATATTCATTTATTATTTGTTCTTTTGCCCTGAAACATTCCACCATAATAAATTTAGTTTATTTTAAATTCTTTGAAAAGTGGGTACCGGTACTCAACAATTATCTTGACCAAATAACGACATATCCAGCACTTCCATTGAGCACTTCAAATATTTACTTCAAAGCATAAGTTGTCACTCATGGCAATAAAAGCATGTCTTGAAAATTCTTGTAAAATTATAAGATCAAATTGGGTAAAAAAAAGTAAGATGACCTCACATAGAAAAAGCAGAACCTGAAACGCAAGTTAGGAAAAAAAAAAGAAGAAAATAGCAAAGTCTGTGGAACTCCAGAAATATTAATTGGAAAAAAAAATCCCTCAACATCATGGACTTTCAAACTGAAGCAACACATTTTCTACAACACTTCTATACTGATGCACTGCACAGTCTAGTAGACCTCTTTTAGCTTTAGTAAGAATTTAACTACACTTGCAACATAAATAGGTTACATAAGTGCTGGAGATTAGAGGTGTTACTAGTACAAGGGAGTAACATACGAAGAAGGTTGCATATAATGGCCAGTTCATTGACAGTTTTGAAGTCAAAACTGGTGTGAGACAGGGGTGTTTGCAATCACAAGTGTCTTGGAAAGTTACCACGGAACAGATGGACAGGCAGGGTCATCAGTGAGGAAGTGTAAAGGAGAAGAAGACAGGGCCCAGTTGGAGATATTATGGGAAGATGGTGGTGACGACAGATTGGACATACTCTCAGGAAGCCAGGCAGCTGCAAAATAAAGAATGTGTTAGAATGGAATCCGAAGGGTAAGAGATGAAGGGGAACGAC